TTTTTTTTTTTTTTTTTTTTTTTTTTTTTTTTTTTTTTTTTTTGGTAACGGGGATCGAACTCGGGTCCTTGTGCTTGTGAGGCAGGAAGTGGAACCACTGAGCTAAAACCTTGGTCCTTTGGCAAAGTCATTGTTTTTCCTGTTAAGTTTATTGGTACATTAAAAGCAAACAATACAGTTGCATTCATCATTGGGATCTTGTACCTTCACTTGATGTATCCTGGTTCTTATTTTTCTCCCCTTACCCCTGCCCACTTCACCGATTCACCCTGCCCTATTTACAAAGACTTTGTTTCCATTTTTTCCATTTTTCACATTTTTCCTTTTCCCTATTTCCTTTCCCCTCCCTTCCCACATCACATTTAGCCATTTTCTTCCTATTTCATGCTATCAATTATATCATTTGAACCTTATTTAGTTTTAGTTTTTCACACCAGAAAAATTCAGTATTTACTCAAGTGTGTCCTATGTATTTCACTTAAGAGTATAGCCTCAATGTGCATTCATTTAGCTATAAATGTCTCTAGTTTCTCATTCTTTATGGCTGAGTAATACTCCATTTTACAGAAAAACCACATACATCTTCTTTATGCAGTCTCCAAATGATGGGCATTTGGGTTATTTCCAAGTTTTAGCTATTACAACCTGGGCAAAGTCATTTTTAACCTCCGACAATTTTCTAGCCAGAAAATGACACCTCATTTCCATTTGTTAGCAATTCTATGTTGTTGTCACTGGAATTCGCGGCAACAGTGCTTGGCTTGAATTACCTCACTTTACCACCACACAGCATCCCCTGCCCGTCTCATCCTCCTCCTCAGAAGCAGAACAAAAGTCCAGTGGGGACTTGCCCGAGGTCACACAGCTAAAACTGGGCCGCAAGGCCCCAGTGACAGCCTAACTGTAACCCTGTGCTGATGACTCAAGAGCCTCTCCGTGTGTGTTCAGCTGCTGCAGTTCTTTCTTCTGATGATGCTAAATTTATTTTCTTGTGTATAAAACCACTCTCGCCCTGTGGATGTTTCAACATCTATCCTGCACCGGGGTCCACACACCAACCTGACTCTTCCCGGCCTCAGTCCAACCAACAAGCACCTCCCACAACCATCAACAGTGATACGGTACCTTCCCAATACGTGGGGAAGAATTCAAACTGGCTTCACCTCACCCCTCTGAAGAGCAAAGTGCCCTACAATTTCTGTAACCTTTGCCTGGGAAATATTGGATAAGCCAAAGAAATTGTCCTTACAAGTGGCAATGTAGGGCCCAACGATCCAGACCAATGCAAAAAGCCCGGCTCTCACCATGGCTCACACTATCCGCATACCCATTCCTTCACTTGCGGCAGGGCAAGTGAGAAGTCAGTGTGCTCTCTTCATGCAGAAATGGAAATGACTCACAACCAAACAGCTCTGAGACGACACAATGCTTACGCGCATCAGCAGGCCAGCCACTGTCCATCAGAGGCCCGAGGAAATGAGCCACGCCCCTTCACACCCGCGAGCAGAATCGTGTCAAAGGAGGGGCGCCTTGGACGCCCAGAGCTGGTCCTGGCCAGAGCGACACAGAGCCCTGCACTAACTAGGGAGGAAGCCTAGGGCTGAGGGCATCTCTGCCTCGAAGTCACCTGCTTGCCTAGGAACTCGCACTGCAGAAAAGTGCCGCAGAATCATAAACCAGCTTTGTGCCTGCTTCAGAGCTCACTCTGCAACTTGGAACGATCATTTCCTTGATTCAGCTCAGGTTAGGGAGATGGATAGGATTTTCCCACAAATCACTTGATTAGTATAAGAAATCTATGTTCCTGCTGTTCTACGTATTGCAGGGATTTTTTGGTTCCCTTTAAATCTCTCTCAATATGGTTCTTGAAGCTCTCAGAGTTCCCTCCCCAGGATTTTTTTTGAAGGTGCTGCTCTATTTGGTAATCTTACTTTGTTCCTTTCTGTTGTCTTTCTTCCAAAGAATGCAAAGTCCTTGACTAGAAATATTTGCGAGGGCAGGCCTGAGCTTGGAATCCAAAAGCAGATATTTCATCCTATCTCTAACTACTCCAGGATCTCTCTAGCACAACTGCTTATAATCCATGGCCCCAGCCATCAGCCTGGCTCATCGTTGGTGAGAAACTATGTCCTAACACTGCCATTACTACAGGGCTTGAAACACTACATACTTCAGGCAATATGCTGAATACTTCCAATGTAATTCCATGTAATCATGACAACAGACCTGTGACACAGGCACCAGGTATGCTAGAGTTGGGGAAACTGAGGTTTGGAGCAGCCACTTGGACAGCTTCACCGGCCTGTGAGATCACCACGGCTTAGATAAAGTCTGGGTACCCACATCCCTGTGCTTTTCTGTTCTGTCTTACACATTCAAAAAATAAGATTTGAAGAAAAGATGGACAGGTCTTCCCCACTGCTCAGTCCTGAGCCACAAACTCCTCGATGCCTGTGTCACCATCTCAAAAACTCCAACCTCTGAGCGAGCACAGTGTGTTGGCTGGAAGAAGAGATCCTTCTCCAAAACACTGTCCCACCCATGCACTCTTTCCGGCCACGTTGACAGTGTCCTGATGTAGGCTGGGTCTCCTGTCACTCTTCACAGAGCTCCCTGAGCAACACCCCACTGTCAACACCAGCGGTTTCCACCCTGTCCTGGGCACAGCAGTCCCTGCACAAGGCCAAGCTAGTCTCCTACTGAGCACGCGGTCTCTAACTGTTCTCTTCCAAAGCCCCACACCATTCTCCTTCCTACCGTCCTACTTGCTGCCTGTCTTCCTTTCGCTTTCCAACAGATCTCTAAAGAGAATACAAGCACATTGTTTCCTCGTAGCTCACAGCAGCAGCTCCTTTGCCACCACCCAGAATGGAGAACCACGGCGTCTTCTCGGCCCGCCCTCCCTTTCTCCCTCCCTCCTGGATGTTAGCCAGAAAGACAGCAAAGGGCCTGGCCCACTCCCGTGACTCTACCCAGTCCTTGGGTAGACTCCTTCTCTCTCCAGGATAATTTCTGGAGGTAAAACCAGAGAAGATGATCTTCATTTTCCTGCCTCCTGTCTCACAGGAAGATTTTTTAAAAAGCTTTAGGAAAAAAAAACAAGTACAATGGACCTCCCTTAGCTCCCCCTAAGCCAGGCTAGTGGCCTCTGTGGCTCTCCCTCCTCTCTGATTTCTAGAAGGATCATTAGGAACCCTAGGAATATGATTTCGTTTCTTAAAATTCCATTCTACAAAAGCCTCCTCAGTAGGTGCTCCAGACCTGCAGGAATCTCTAAGATCATTTCGTCTGTCTCCCTCCTTGCCCTCATCTTGGCCTTATTAATTCAGTCATAACTCTCCAGAATTTACAGGGCCCCTTTTCAGTGAAAAGCTCCGGTGAAAGCAACAGCAGAAGCCTTTTAATTTTGATTTAGAGAGTCAGAAATCCCTTTGTCATTGTCTCAATCCCTTCCCCTGAGGTTGAGGGGGGCATCTATCTCTGTGGCCTGCTGCACCCGGGTCCTTCCTCTCTTCTCTGGAGCCTCCTGATCTTATCCTCTACACCACTGAGAAAATGAAGCAACACAGAAGTTCCCACCTGATCCACCCCATCACCTCCTCGGTCTACCAGCTGCTTTCTCCTTCCACCTCCATCCAAGAGCCCACCAAGGACTTGCCTGCCTTTCCCTTCCCCAGTCCTCTCCAGCTTCCTCGCTTCTGGTCCCTGAACCACCTTGGAGCCCTCTAGGCTGCATCCTTTCCACCCCCTTTGTTATTTCTCCCATTTTTGTGGGAGAAACACTGATTTGACACCCTGCATGCCCATGTGGTTAGCCCTTCATTTCTTTGCACCCCTTGCAACCACGCTCATCCACGGACTTGCTAACCTGAGCGATCACCAATGTCCCCCTGTGACCCACCTCCATGAAGCTCTCCCCCAAGGACCCACTCAGCTCGCCAGCGGCCACCCTGGTACTCACATTCAGTTTTCATCCCTTTTCTCCAGGTACAGGAGAGGTATCTGGCCCATCTCATCACTGGTTCCTTGTGAAGAAACACTGCTGTTTCTGAGGTGACATTTGTCTTGCTTGGACCCCCGTGTCAAGAGCGGCTCCTTCCCAGAACCTGCTATACTTTAAATATGAAGTCACTCCAGGAGACTAATGTAGTGAGGGCTTGACCCACAGGCATCACAGTTCAGAGGTGGGGCTGCAGAAGTGACTGGTCTGGAAGACACTGGCTCTCCCCATGTACTAAAGCCCACAGCGTTCACAGCTGCACAGGCCGTGAGAAAGCGAGGCCCACCTGGAGGAAGGAGGTTCTTGGGCTGTAACTTTAGAGTGTACTTTATCCCCAGCGCCCCCTCCTCTGGCTCTCTGCACTCCCTCTGCTTTCTGGATACCTGAAGTGAGCATCTTTCCTCTGCCATGATGTCTTCGTTGAGTCACAGCCCTAACAGTAATGGGGCCTGCTGACTGTGACCTAAAACCTCTGAAACTATAAGGTAAAAATAAATGTTTTTGCCCTTCAGTTCATAATCTCAGATATTTCATCACAGAAAAAAAAACTGACTAAAACAGAACCCTTTAGTGGTTCATCTTCAATGTCCTAGATCTAAAGTCAGGAACCTGTGGTCCATGGACCAGGTGGCTGATTTATAAATAAAGTTTTATTAGATCACAGATATGCTCCTTCATTTATACACTGTCTACGGCTGCTGTGCTGTTCCCACAGCGAAGCTGAGCAGTTTCAGCAAAGACCATACAGCCTGAAAAGCTTGAAATATTCACTGTCTGGCTCCTTCAGAAAAAGTTTGCCAACCCTTCCCCTGGACTTATAAATACTGCACTACAGTTCTCAGGACTCGGCCTTTACACCTCCTCTCTTCCTACACTGGGTCCCTTGGGATCTCCCACAGCCCTGTGACCTGCTAACTGTGCACTGCTAACCCCAAAGTCCTCCTGTACTCACAAGTCCCCTCTGAACTCCAGACCCACAAGCCACCTGTCCGGGAGATACCTCAGTTAGCTAGCTCACACCTCCCAGAACAAACGCCTACTTCCTGTCCCTCCACCACCCCATGTGCTCCTTTCAGTCTCTTCCTTGTCATGCCAAAGCCTTACAATCATCTCTGAACACTATCTTTCTCTCAAACCCCACGTTAAAGCCATCAGCAATTTCTGCTGGCTCCCCCTTCAAGATACATCCAGAATTTGACCACTCCCCTCTCTCTCCTCGACCCTGCTCCTCCTTCTCCCAGACCTTTGTCGCCCAGCTGGCCTCTGCCTGCACATGACCCCTACAGGATGATGGCAATACAGCATCCAGAGCCACCCTTCACACCACAGACTGCCCCACTCCTTGGCTGCTACTCCTGACTGCTTGAGTGGTGCCAACACGGCCTCTTCTAGCCTGGAGCCCTGGTCCCCACAGATCACATGGGCCCCAGCCCACACGTCCAGGTTGCTGCCAGAGTGTTACCGCTGGACGAGACCCTCCTCCTGGACACTTCCTTCCAGGTACAGTCCGTGGCCCTTGCTCACCTTCGTTTTCTCCAGTGTACAGAGAAGCCTCTGACAGGCTTTCTGATTTATTTGCCACACGCCTTCCCCATTGGTGTCTAACCTCAGAGCAAATGGCACCTGGGTCAGTGATGTGCACGACCGGACTCTCAAAACTCAGAAGTGTGCCTGTCCACGCACAATGCATGCAGCAGTGACTAGATGAGCACATAAAATGTCAGAAGTCCATGCAACCCACGAAAGAAAAACAAAGACCTGGGAGAGAAGCATAGAGCTTACGTTATGGAGAAGTCAAACAGCCATATTCTAAGACACACAGCCTTGTGGTCAGTGGTCTCCCCCACTGAACTGTCCTGGGGACTGGACGGAAGCAAGCCAGTGCCCGAAGCAAAGGGCCTGTGCAGCCAGTACCCTGCTGCAGAGCTTACCCATGACTGGGGCGGTAGGATGAAGGGCGTCTCTGTCTCTGCAGGCACACAGAGCCACGACCCAGCCTCAGCTCATCACCACACCCGCTAGGCCCCCTCTGTCGCCAGCAAGCCTCTTGACCAAGCGGGTGATCTGGGTGGGCACAGGTTAGGGATCTGCCATCCACTCCTGTGTTACCCCGCAAGCGTTAGCCCCTGCGGGTGCCTGCAAAATGACAGCGACGAACCAGTGTTTAAAAGTCTGAAATTAAAGGCAGTCCAGACTCCCACCCACCTTGTGCTTGCTTGCTTGCTTGCTTTCTTTCTTTCTTTCTTTTTTATCTGTGTCTTATCACATTTAAACATCAACTTACAATTTTTAAAAAGGCTATGGTCCTTTAAGGCCACATGTGTATATCTAAAATATTTTTTCTTCTGCTTGGTGTCTCATAAATCTGGAACCCTGCAGGGCAATCGCATTTTCCACAGGAGCAGAACCCAGAGAGAGAGCAGAAGGAGAGAAATCCTATGAGATTCATAGGCCCAGGTCCTTGGCCTCTGGTCTCTCCCTCACTTCCCTCCTTTCATAGCCACAATGTTCCTAGTCCTCGGAACAGAAGGAATTTCTGGAAAGCAAGGGAGACCTGGAAGGATGGTGGGGTGGGGGGAGGCTTTCACCAGCAACCCCACAATCCATCAACAGCAAAGACCAACTACAATGGCTCTGGGCTCCAGACCTCCACTTGGGCTGAGAATGTCCCCTCTGCTCTCCAAATGGCTCATATCCTTTGGTGTTCAGGACCCTCCACCCGTGAGCATCAGAGACTACTCTCGCCTTCGATAACACCCACCTTCCTTAGCACCGTGCTCTGCCTGACGTCCTGAGGCTCAATGGAAGACACCTTATACTCAGAGTCACCACACATGTGCTGCTGTTTGCTCCCCAAGAGCTGCCCAATCAAAACAGGGCATTTTCTGTACCTTTGCTTTGCCCAGAACACACAGGCCAACAGGACGTCCTTCTCAATCATGGGTGGGGGTGATATTTGCAGGCAAAACTCTGGCCCATCCCACACCTGACTCCTGTGCCTGCTTCCCTTAAAGCAAAGCAGAGCGCCGTGGCCTTTCGGTGTCCACTTCCTCCTCTGAAAATAGAGAAAACAAGACCTTCCCTGCCCACCTCTGAGACTTCTGCATACAAACACCACACACATTTTGAGTTATTATTAAAATAAATAGAGCAGCAAATCATCCATGCAGTCCGCACTGCTCCTCATCCTGCCCTATCTCCCAGCAGGCCCGGCCACTTTTCCCAATTAAGCCTGCGGAAGCCCCAAGGGTGTGCCCATCAAAGCTGCCACCTGCCCTGCTGTGGGAAGGCGCCCAGAGCCCCCATGTGGCCCCAGCACACATCACGGAGCCAGCCAGCTATGACTTCCACCCAGGGCAGGCTGTCTCAGACTGCCCAGAGTTTATGCAACAAAGAAAACCACAGCAGGAAGCAAATGCATTCCGGAAGAGCAGTAACAAATGAGGCACTTGTCAGGAGGCTGGGCCACAGGACTGGCTCTAGAGAGCCAGCAGCACCCAAGCCCTGCTCTAAATGGACAGCAATCAGCCCACTGACTTCACCTTACTCAAAAAGGAGGGGTGACTGCATACCTTCCTGTGGAAATTCGCCAGCCCCTCGGAGCTGATGGAGCCCTGCAACGCGCCCACCCAGCAAAGTGCATCTGGAACAGAAGGTCCTCGTCCTTCTGTCTAGCGATGCCACTCGCTTGCTGCGAGAGCCTGGTCAGATCTCAGCCTCTCTGAGCCTGGGCTTCCCCACTCTGAAATAAGCGGGTACACAAGAAGTGTGGAAATGCACCACTGGGAGAGCCAAGAGGAGACTGGCACGGAAAGGGCAGGTTCCATGAAAGGGGCGTGGGCACGAGGGAGGAACACGGATGCCCACCCGGGGGCCAGCTCCTTGCAGAGATGCCACTTTCACCCTCACTGATGACAGGAGCGGCACTTTCTGGCTTTCGTGGGCATGTTTATCTTATCTCACATTCATCAAATCTCACCATTTCAGTGAACAGCACCAAATCTAACCTTTCTTTACTTACAGTTGCAGCTTGAACACTAGTGGGTGAAATGACTAATTTAAAAAACATATTTTCTGACTTGCACAATAATGTTTCCTATTGGAAATTTGGAAAACACAAAAAGTTTAGAGAAATTAAAAATTATGCATTTCTTACAGCACAATAACAACCACCACCAAGTATTCTGCTCTCTTTTTTGGGACCACATACATTTTTTATTTTAATCACAATTATACTCTATTTACTTTTAAATCATTACTTAATATATATCAAATGCGTGTTCCCATATTGTTATATATTAGTCACTGTAATTTTAATGGCTTCCTTGATTTCCATTTGTGGATGAGCCATATTAGATTTAATTCATGCCCCTGTGCAATGTTTTGCAGTCATGAATAATGCTGAAAGGACTATCCTTGATTAGAACTATTTTGCACATCTCTGATTATTTCCTTAGGATAACTTCCAAAATGAGGAATTGTTCATCGGTTCAAAGAGTGTATTTTTGAGATATGTCTCCAAAGTTTGCAAATTATCTTCTACCAGCTAGAATAAAAATGTCCATTCACAAGCACACCCCTCACAACACTAGATAGAATAGCAATCTTCATTTTTGCTAATCTGTTAGGTGGATGACGATGTTTCGCTTTTGATTTCGCATGTTAACTGTAAGTGAGGTCAGGCACTGGCCACTTATGTCTTTTCCATATATCTGGGCTACCGAGACACATTCTTTGCTCTCTCTTCTACTGGAGAAAAGACAGATTTTTGCTAATTCTCAGAGAAAGAAAAGAATTAGTCTACAACCTCTTTTGATGATCTTTCCCCCACGATTCACAATACCTTCCATTAAAGCATTAATTCTAATGTCTCACTTATATCCTTTTCCTGTAGTTTCAATCCACTCCCTCTTATCCTGGCTTCAGTGCAGACGCTGCTCTGTTACCTAACAGTGTGACCTTCCTTGTCAGCTGTCAGCCTGTCTTCAGGGGATGAATAATTCTTCTTCATTTTTGCCTGATCTAGTGTGACTTATGAAGTCAGAGCATCGCCCTTTGATGCTGTCCCTTCCACTCCCTACTGCCATGTCCTCCTGGTGGCTGGCTCTTTGTCATTTCTCACCTGGACAGCAACCAATTACTTTTGCACAGGCCTCTGTTTCTGGCTGGGCCCTGCCTTTTTGGCCCTCACAAACCTCACACTGGCTCTCCACTTTGCAACTTCATAACTGCTCAACCTGTGTTCCTAAATCCAAATGTAGCTAGTCATTTCCTGCCTAAACCTCACCATCCTTTGGTTGGCCCAGCTGGGTCCTCCCTACATGGTCAACACCACAGGCCTATCCCCAGAACATATCTGGTGTGTTCACATTCAGGGACACCAAGTGCTGTATTACTGACAGGTAACACCATTTCCTGCACATATGCCTCTGCTCCCACCACCCCGCCCCACCCTTTGAGGGTGTCCTAAACGTTCAAGTCCCACTTAGGCTTTATGTGGCACCCTCTGGCCACCTCGAATAAGTCACAGTGAACCCAGCACCCAGGACACATCTCCATTCCATTTCACACAGCTCACTGTTTCTTACTAGAGTCTGGAGCATCAAAAGCGAGGACCTAGTGTGGACTCAGATGAATGCCACCGCAACTGACCAGGACACGTGGTGAGCACACCCTGGCTGACCCAATTCCTCCAAGGCTCCTGCCTGCACACAGGCTCTGCAGGCCCTTGGCTTCTGCCTCCTGGGTGCTGACCCATCCCTCTACCCTTCCCTTCATCTTCCCAGCCTGACCTGCCCAGGCCCTGGTGCCCATGAAGCCCTCTCTGGCTCCTCCACATCTTCTGCCTGTGGGGCTGAGGTTCTTGCCATGCAAGGCCCTGCAGGAGAACCTCAGCTCTTTCTAGAAGACATCCTTGGTTGTGGGCCAAAAAACCCAGAATGCCTCTGTTAGCATCCAGAAGGCCATGTGAGGAGACGGGCCCTGCCTTGCCCACTAGGTACTCACAGCTGACCCCTACTGCCTCTTGATGCCAACTCAGCACACACCTGAGGGATTTTTGCCTTTTGCTCAGTGGCCACACACGTGTGCTCACGAATTCTGGATCTATTCTACGGTGTTCATTTCACCAATTCATCTTGCTTCCTATACGGCTCAAACAACCGCAGAGCAAAGCCACCTACAGCAGCTACCTCACTCTCCAAGGCCTAAGGCCCCTCCTAAGCCCACAAGGCCAGGCTTTGGGCCCTAGAAGAGTGCATTCCCAGGCGCTGCAGGCTGTGCCTTCTCTGGGCTGCCTCTCCCCACCCCTCACACATGGCCCTTTGTTCTCCTTGATGAAAGGTAGGGTGTACAGTGTCTTCTCGGAGTATATGCCACATCCTGGGCCTCTCATTTCACCTACAGCATTCACTGAGAACTCGTAGTAGACATCTAACGCAGGAGGCTTGGATTAAACGCTTTCCATGTCTTCCTCACTTGCCCTCCAATCCCCGTCTCAGTTCCAGGCTCTGGTGCACACCTCACACCTCACCACCTTCACCCCGAGCTCAGAGGCCCGAGGGTTCCGGTGGAGAAGAGTCTCGGCTCCTGTCCCACTTCTGCCGTTCGGTAACTGTGTGACCATGCCAAGGGCACCTCCCTCTGGGGCCTCCTCGGTCGCACGTGGGAACGAAAGATGAAATTGGATGGGAGATCCCAAGCCATAAACAGGGCCTCCTCAGAGAAGCAGCAGCCAGCCCAAGAAGGAGGGGCCCCAACCCTGGGGACAGCACGGGTTGTCTTCTTTCCTTCCTCCCTGCCCCACACAGATTTCCAGCCACTTCTGTAGCCCCAGAGAGAAGGTGAAGTTTTTGGAGAAGTGAATAATGAGCCTCTTCAGGATAGGCTGTGGATTCTGAGGCTTTGCAGTCCTGTCTTTCACCTCTTCACAGACCTCTGGCTCCTCCTCCACAGTTAAAGCGTCCAGCTTATCCATTTCTTAAAGATCATCACAGAGCTCCACAACCTTCCCTTTTTAAAAACTCTTGCTGATGGAAAATTCTTCCTCATACCTAATCTAAGTCCATCTGCTGCAATTTCTGTCTATTTTCTCTCGTTCAATCTTACTGGAGATGGAGAACAGCTGGTCGCCATCCTCCATATAACATCCCCTCCTAAACCGAAATCGGTTATGACATCACCCTCAGCCTGCTTTGCTTCTGGTATAGTACCCACTGTTCCTCTGACCCGCCTTCATGGAGCTGTCCCCAAGCATCACTGGCCACCGTGGTTCGCCCTGGAAGATTCTCTGCAGCCCCATGTCCCTCTGGACCCTTGGCATCACAACAGGATGGAGGACTCTGTGGCCAGATCCAGAGAAAGGGTCAGCACCAAGGGGACCTGCGAGAACACAGTGCAGATCCTCTGCTTTACACAGGAGGAAGCCGAAGGTCAGAAAGGGCACGTAAGCGCAGTGCTCAAGGTCAAAATCGAGGGGTCGGGCTCCAGCCACCAGCCCCCAATACTGCCATGGTATCTGAGCAGCATCAAGCTCTCCTCAACAGGGGTGGCTCGGAATCAGTCCGACTGAAAAGCAAAGGGACCATCCCTTAGCATTGTCCTGACACAAATTCTGCCTCCCTGTGACCACTAGTAGATGTCTGAATTTCCACTCTGCACATCTTGGATTTCCACTAAGAACTCAAATACTAGGTCGAGAGTGTAGCTGCGTGATAAAGTGCTTGTCTAGCCTGTGTGAGTCTCTAGGTTCCATCTCGAACACCATAAAAATAAAGAAAGAAATAAAGTAAAAGAAAAAACCCTCCAATACCTCTGTAAGCGGCAACAGTTTATCAATATTAATATCCATACCTTAATACAAGTAAGTAGATTTCATACTTGATCTTTTCCAACTATTGATAGATTCAGGGTGAGGAGAGAACAAAGAACAAAGAAGCCAGGTGACAGACAAACTGCACTGTCTGCTAGTGTTTGCAAGGTCAGTATGGGCCGCATGCAAAACTGAAGCCTGTGGGCTGAAGCTGGTGGGGATCCCGGGCACGGAAACAGCCCACGATCAGACACAGCAACTGGCGGCTGCACCAGGTCAGCTGAACCCCGGGTGCTCCTGCGAGGTCTGCAGCAGAACTGAACTTGGTGAGAGGATTACCTCACGGCTCCCACTGGGCAGGCTCCTGTGCATGTGAATATTCCAGCATTCCTAAGGTATCCTGCCCACCTCTTCCCGAGAGGTGAGCCGGGCATGTCAAAGTAAGCCCCAACCCCAGGATGTCCTTAAATGACAGGAAGAGCTCAAGGGAAGGGGAGAAGACATGGATACCTGCCTATCAGATTGAGTGATAATTTAGCATTTTTCAGTTACCTGCTTCAAGGTGACACTGTTCCCCAGGGGGAGAAGGGAGGAGCCTGTGAAGGTAAGGAAGAGCGAGTCATATCAACTATTTACTCGTGATTGTGCCTATGAAATTTCCCTAAATGAAGAGTGGAGGAGGGCGAGAACAGAGTGTGGTGTGCGGTGAATACATGTTCAGAGCCTGGGTTTCAATGCAGCCTTCTCCCCACTCTAAAGGAACAGGGGCACACTGCACTCCACCCCGTCAACTTCTGGGGATCTCACTGCCTGCTGCAACCTCCAGACCACCCCCGACCGCAGGTAAATCCGCACACCTAGGAGAGGAAGAGAAGACCCTGTGATGGCATCTACCCAAACGCCTAACCCCATAAACATACTTATTTGACTTCCCCAAAACCACAAAATTAAATTTAAAAACAGAAGACAAAAGGCAACTCTGACAAAAATTTTAATCTGTGCTCAGTGCCATTTCAAGGGGGCAGTTTTCTCTAGCAGCGAAATCACAAAATGACGAGATCAAAGCAGGTTGGCAGAGTGATTACTTATTGATGAGTTTATGATGAGAAGGGATGACAGGGAAGGTGGCGGGGAGGGGGGTCAGGAAAGCAAGAGCAGGACTTGTACCGGCCAGGTAAATCACACTGGGCTGGGAGGGACAGAAGGATGCAATCCTCCACTCCGCAGTGGTAAATGCCAGAAACCCGGGCCGGCCAGTGGAGCAAAGGAGAACACACTACACCTCTGGACGATGGTTACCCCAGGTCCTTGCTAAAGCTATCATGTCTGGTGAAATGACAAGTAACAAATTTAATTTCGCAAGCATCAGTCAATCCATGCGAATACAAGCAGGCACCCAGCTTCACAAAGAGTTCAGGCACTTAACACCAGCGAACAGTGCTCCACACTGGATCACAAGCGGCAGAGTGTGCTTCACACCCTACTCTATCCAAGGTGAAGCTGCGATGATGGTGTTTTGCATCTTGTCAGTTATACTCCAGTTCCTCTACTCCCCCTCCTTTTTTAGCTTTCGTTATTTTAATGATCTCTGCTCCAAATGAGGAAATACAAGGAAGAAGAATGAGGAGGAGGCAGAGGGAGAAAACCACACACCCAGTGTGTCCCACTTGTACTTCCAGAACTCCCTGGGCTCCTCCCCCACCAGCCTTTTCCCTCTGTGCATGAGTCACCATTCAGAAGCTGTTTAAAATGCCTACTTTTAATGTTCTCTATCCCAACAGAAATCCAGGAGATCAGCATCAAATAAAGGGACTCGCAGTTCCCCTTCCAGTTCCTGGACCTAGACACCCTTCAAACTCAAAAGCACTTTCGAATGTGTTGCTGTCTTCATGAAAACCAAAGTGCCTGCTCCCCAGATATGGGCTGGGTGCTGCCCTCCTGGGGTCTTGCCAGGGGCCACACACACTAGAGAGACCACAGAGGACAATGTCCTGCACCAAACCTGCCCGACAGCCAAGCAAAATTCAGTTTCTACTCCCAGCCCCAAACACAGAGGCCATAATGTGCAGGGCTGCAAGTTTTCTTTGCTGATGGTCAGGGCAGCATGTGAGAGAGAGAGGGCTGACTGTACTGACCGACAACCATAACAGAGTCAGGCACCTGTTTTTACTCACCACTGTGAGTAGAGCTTCCATAACAGTTCCCACCCAAAATAGCTGCCTAAAGGAGGTGGAGGAGGACCTGTTGTGTGTGGTGGTAAAACGAATAAGAATTAAAAAGTGAAGGTGGAGCCAGAGAATCCAGACTGCCATCTGCACCTCAGCAGGAAGGGTGTCACAGGGGAGAGGCACTGTAGGAAAGTCTCACCCAGAACACTCACCCTAGTCGGGACCCCCCCGCTCCAGCTTCCGGGAAGGGAGGAAATATACCCGAGCCTCCCAACCCCGAAGCTTCCAGGACTGTGACACCAGCCAGGGACTGGCAGCTTCAGCGTGTCTAGTAGGTACCTGGTCAAGTATTGTGCGGCACGACAACAGAAGCTGCTTGCACAAAAGCAGGAAGGAAATCCAAGGCCAAGGGTGCTACTTTCTCCCCCATGGAAACACTGATGCCTAAAGGTCTACCTAACTAGCACTGCCTGTGACAGAAACTGGAGCAAAGCAGTTTCCCCAGGGACCAAAGTGGGTATCATATCACATAAAACCCTGTTGGTCCCACAAGGGAGAAGGTTCAAGGATGCTGCTCTGCGGAACCAGCTTCCTGCCATGGTGAGCTTTTGCACTCAAGAACAGCCAACAGAAGCACTGTGGATGGTGACTTCGGCTCCATCTTTCCACCAGAAATGCACCTGCTCACCTAAGCAACCTGAGCACCTAGACAGGGCCAGCCCCCAGCAGCTGGCCCATCCCAACACCAGCCTCCACTTGCAGGGTTCCACATGACTCCAGCACAGGTGTAAGCCATGCACAGGATGAGATTCAGCTCCAGCCCCATTTTTTCAGGACACACCAAACCTGGAAAATCTTGCAGAGTTTGGGGGTGCTAACCAGTGAAGTGGTTTCTCTTCCTCTGAAGGGTTTTGTCAGTTTCTCCCCAAGTTGTATGGCACCCAATGCTCACCACGTCACACAGGCCAGGCCACACTGCCCCAGGGAATTTCTTCTCCCACCAAACAAAATGAAGGAAGCCAGAGTGCGCAATGGGTAGGCAGGAGATAGAGACAGAAGTTTGAGGAAGGAGCTAAGTTGAAGGTCACAGTAGTTCAAGGAAGACGTGTCGAGGTAATATGGATGGAGTAGCCCCTTTGGTGGAAAACCCGACCAACCAATCACGTGTCTCACAAACAGCTTCCCAGTGATGGGTCACCGCATCATCCTGGGGTCTGGGAGACAGTGCTCATATCCCAAGGTCCACCTTCCAATGGCCAGCAAACCTGAGCCTACACCCCACCGCGAGGAAGACCACAGGGATTCTGACAGACCTCAGCACAGCTAATCAAGAGTAGCAAACAAGCCCAGTTATTGGCAAGCGCAGAAGTTTTCGGGATTGTTGGCTTGTTTTCCTCCTAACAAAAGGCTGTAAATTCCCACCTTTGTCACATTCCCTCCCCTAAACTTTTCTTTCTGCAATCCTCCACCTCTGCTAACCTGCCTGCCACTGAGAAGGGACCAGTGCGGGCAGCACGCCCGGGGATGTAGGCAGCGGTACCTTTTCCGAAGAGCAGAGGGGCTGTGGTCCGGAGGCTCGATGCCCTGCCAGGAGGTGGGCAGACGCTGTCCGGATGGAGCACGCTGAGGATTACGCGTTCCTGTCTCTGCGACCAGACCTTTCAGCAGCTCTGACCAACTGTGCTAGCAATGCACTTAGCAATTATCTGCTGCCGCCGACGCCCCGCCCTCTGCTCCTGCGATTGGCTCTCCGGTCCCGGGCAGGACTGCATTGGTCTCTGCCGACCTCACTCATTGCTTTGGCTCCTACTATTATCTAAGCCATCAAAGGAAATAATTCCATGTTTCATTGACAACCTGTAAGGCTCTTCTCCGGCCCTGTGTGGGGGCAGAACTGGGAGTCCAGCAGAGGGAGGGGAGGGGAGGAAAATAGGAAGGGAGGGAGAGAGAGAGGGGAGAGAGGGAGCGAGAGAGAGCTATCAAGCAATCAGATTCTTTCTCCAGCATTTTAACTTACACAAAACAGAGCCCATAGCAACAATTTTCTGGCCTTACTGGTAAATGTTCTGGAGGGCAGATGGAATTATAACCGCGGGGGTTTCTGCGGGTGTCAGACAGGCTCAGGAAAGCAGAGCGAGGTTGAGGGCTGAGGGAAGAGTGATGCTTGTACATCCTGGAGGGCATGTGAAGGTCACTTTAAATTGTTTGGGGGAACATGTTCTGCACCTTTACTGGCTTGTACCTATCCGTTCTGTCCTGCGTGGTCCAGCTGGCCAGTTTTCCTTCACACCCTATCTGGAGAGTCTCAGAAGAGCTATCCTTAAAGTCCATAAAAGTCTAGAATTTCTCACTGGCCTCACAGGTGGGCCAAGAGGAGGGACATTTTAAGTGGAATCATTCTCGGGGGAGAAACATTCAACTTGTGCTTATTCTGGCAGGGCTTCGATTAATTGCTTAGACTCATGTGATCAGCCAAAACAAGGGAAGAGCAGACGACATCCCCCAGGACCTGGGAAATGCTTCGCTTTTCCTGGTCTATCAGGGAACCTTAGCACAAATTTTTACTTTTCCCACCAGGTTAATAAATTTGTTTGCCACATAGAAAGAATGTTACTGGGGAACCAGATTTGTTAAAAATAATAATAACAATAATAATATCTTTAAAAGATCTTTGAAAGGCTACAAGTGCAGTTCAGCACTAGAGCACCTGCCTACCTTGCACCAGACCTTGAGTTCCATCCCCAGGACTAGGAAAAGAAAAAGAAGACAGAGAAAAGAAAAAGATATTCAATTGTCAGAGTACTCAAAAATTAGCTCTCCAAGCTGCCCATCCTGGGATGCCAGTCTTTGGTAAGGATGCAGTTCCAGTCCTGCCCTGCCCCTGCCCAGGGCCTGAACAACTGCAGTCCCTGCTCTCTGTGTGCCTGGAAGCGAGTGGCATGTCCCCACCACCTTGTGCGGTGAGCTCCCATTCTCCTGAGTATACACCTGGCTTACCTAGGCACTCTGAGCTCTGTAAAGACAGAGATGGGATCAGGTATACCTTTATCACCACACAGACAGCACCTAGTGCTCAGTAAGGGCTAGGACCAATGAAACCCAGCTCAGTGCCTAACATGTACACAGCTCTGAGCTTCATGGAATAATCACCCACTGTGATCACTCACACAGCTGGGCAGAGTGGGGAGGAGGCCCACCCTAGAGTCCGGGAGCAAAAATTTCAGAGCTAAACACTGAAATCCTGCTGCTACAGAAGCCACACCAGGCTCTCAGAAACACTATTTTGTCTCCGGAAAATGAAGCAGCTCTTCACTCAGTGTCCTCCTTCTCCCTCAAGCATCTGAAGGAAATGAAAAGATGTGGGATGCACATTTTTCTCATAGGACATCCCTGCAAAAATTTCAGTCATTCCCATAATGGCTTTCCAAATACTAGTATGGCTAAAAGGACAGTGACCAGATACTAGGGATCAAAAACTAGGACAAAGCATAGAGCAAAACATTTGTGTTCTATCTCATTTGTCTATGTGAAATTCTTACAAAAGTGCAATGGTGAAACTAACCCCAGATATGCATTTAAAAGTGACACTGTCCCAGAAAACCTGGTATGTTCAGTCCTGGTGTAAAAAACATAAATAGCACTTTTATAATTTAAGCAGTGTGACTTCTACTTTCAAGGGAAATTTTGTACCTTTATAAAGTATCCCCCTTCCCACCAAATAAAAATCAAGAGAAATAAATCAAATTATGAGAACTCCCTTCAGTTGCCACCAAAGGAAAGAAAAAAATCACAAATGATTTTCTAAAATGCTTTGTTTAAAACAGCATATTCTTCCTTACATGGAGATTTGGGCTTTTGAAGATGAGAAGCAGAAAAAAAAGACAGGAGAGAGAGGGGGACAGAGAAAGAGAGATGGGGGCCAAAAACAGCTGTTTATGTCAGTGCCTTTTAAACTGCTTGGTCATAAATACTCTCTGAGAAAAGGGTGATCCCTCTGTGTCCTATAGATCAACTGTTTAATTCTGAAAGTTAAAGAGTGCATATTAAGTATGCAGATTCCACTGGTACTTGAATTTGTATTAAATATCAGCTCCATACAATTTAAATTCACTGGGGTATGAAATGTACAGAATTCCATTTGCAGACAGTGCTCTGACAAAGTCGCCCATTTTGACTCAACAGTTTCAGTGCATTAGTGGTCTGAAAGGCTTTTGGGTTCCTGTTCCGTTCTGAGTTGTGTAATTAAGGCAAGAATAGGCTTCCTTATTAAAACAAAAATTAAATAGCTGCCAAAGCCACTGTTCCTCTTGTGGGTCAGCACTCAATGCAACACATTACCACGACCTACTGTGGGAGGCTGGAGCAAGCTTGCATTTACCCGTCTGTTTACACCACTCTCTCAGTCATCATTTATTTATGCCAAATTTTGTTCCTAAAAGGGAGAAGAGGATCAATCTATGCAATGCCAAGGAAATGTGTGAAAACAGAAGAAAAAATGTGGATGACTTTCAACACTTCACAGTTTTGCTAATTGACTTTAGCCACCCAATAGTACTTTAATGAAAACATGGTATTAGCAGGATCTCTTTTAAAAATTCATATTTGCTTTGAATAAATGTAAAGTGTTCAGAAAAATTCAACTTCAGCTCTCTAAGAAGATAATCCTGGAGAAATACACTCACAGTTTTCCATTCAAGCTGATGGCTATGGGAAAATTTTATGTACTTGAACTCACCCCCCTACCCACTCCCCACATCAAACTTGTGGAGTCAGTGACATTTCAGCAGAGTGCAAGAGAAGATCGTGGCTGCTGGGGGTGGTGTTAGTCACCAGGAACCACTCGTAATGGCTCCAGTAACTACTGATGAGTCTTCAGAAAGTTGCTGCCCTCTAGACAGGGCTTCATGAGGTTTCAAGGCACAAAAGGGTATTTTATTACTTAAAATACTCTGCTAAAGGAAAGCAGGTGCTTCTGTTCCCTCAAATCATGACCGTATTTACTACTGAGGCAGCACTGTAAATAGCCTGAAAAGGAGAAAGACAGAGACAGACAGAGATTTGTGAGACTAAGTTGCCCATCTAAATTGTTTTGGAGGGCTGGGGATTTAGCTTAGTGGTTCCGCAACCTGCCTTTCAAGCTCAAGGGCCCAAGTTCGATCCCCAGTACCAAAAATTTAAAAAATAATAAAACATAAAAATAAATAAATAAATAAACACCAAAAAACAAAAAAAATAAAATAAAAAATAAGTTCTGTTTTGGTTTGATTAAATTCTTCACAAGGAATATGGAGCTGAACGCTGTCATACAATATTGTCCAGCAGTGTACCAACTGTCGGGAGTTGGAGAACTGAATTAAAGAGGCCAGCGCGTCTTCTGTGAGGTTGGCGGGTCACGTGTGCCCTGAAGCACCCTTCCAGGAGGAAGGTCTACACCCACATTACTCTTGGAACTCCTGCCAGCAGCCAGGACCTAACACAGAGAGTTTCTTGAAAGAATCCATCGAACACATTCACAATATATCAAATCGACATAAATCATGTTTATCAAACACGATGCCAATACTGCTTTAGGGCTATTGAGAGAATGGCAGCAAACCAACATTCACAGGAACAGCACAAGTGACCCACCACTAGATATGAACCCTCATGTTTAAGAAAGGCAATGAATGACGCCCTGGCATGAGTCAATATAAACGTAATGATGCATCCCCGGGCTCGCTCTACCAGACCAGTTCCCAGAGAGGGACCTAACGGTTTTCAGATGGACAGAAAGATACTCCAGGTACGAGTCAGAGCTGCAAGGAATAATGTTCCCCTTCCGACTGCCCAAGGAATAGGCAAACTGTCGCACTGATGCACACCACGCTGCAGGAGGGTGTGCAGATGCCATCCAAGCGCTCTGCCACAGCCAAAACTTCTTCAAGTGTGGATCTTCAATGACTCAGGTCATGTAAACCGCATTCTCCTCCAAAACCTATCGGTATTTGTTTATTACACAAATTACTGTATGACACTGACTGTCCAGAAAGATGCCCTCTACTTGTGGAGCCTGAGGTTTGTGAAGCACAAAACTGATGTCTCTAATCTGCCCTCTCCTTAGCTTCCAGAGACGTCTGAAATCTGCCCCGGCTCCCGCCGTCCAACTTATTCCACGCTCATCTTCAAGCACTCAGGTTCTTCGCAGCGCTCCATGGCGCGCTCATCCACATCTCCTCCCCTTCCCCGGCTTCCCGGTTTTCTTCCCACCCCCCCACCCTTCGCAGTGAGACAGCAGCTGCCTTCAGTTGCATTCTGCTCGGTATTTTCATTACTGTTCACATGGCCCACACCGCCCCCCATCCAAAGCGACGCCCAGAGCAGGCAGGCTCATGTCGGACACACACTTAGACAAAGTAAACGGCTCGTGACAAAGTGGATGGATCTATGTCTTTCATGGCTGGAGGCGATGGAATGCTTCCGGAAAGGAAAAACGCATCGGAAAATCCCGGCCTTGCCAAATGACCTAGGGCAGTGAAATGCGGCAACTGTACATCTCTGGCCTTCCACATACAAATCTCTCAGCATCAAAAGTGAAATGCCGAACGCATCACCATGGCGGCAAGCCTGGACTTTCCCTCCTCTGCTGCCTCATGCTTCTTACAGCCAGAAGGAACCTGGGTAGGACCTGGGAGTT